AATAAATTGTCATAGGGTATTTTGGGCTTCCTGGGTGGTACTAGTGGTAAAGAACCTGCTTGCCAATATAGGAGACATACGAGGCACAGGTTCTATCTCTGAGTGGGGAAGATCCCCAGGAGGAGGGCATGGCAACCCACTCCAGTATTCTTGCCTGGAGAATCCCATGGACAGAGGAGCCTGGACGGCTACAGTTAGTTCATAGGGTCGCAAAAATTTGGACACAACTGAAGTGACTTGGTACATACACACACAAAATGATGTTTTAGGTTGATTGCAAGTTCAAATGCAATCAGTTAGGTAAATTGAGTTAACCCAAGTATATTATAAAAATTAATTTCATTGTTGCTTGTTACTTTAAGTGGCTACAGTGCTGATCCATAGTTCCTGCCAGGGAAGTCACACTGTCCCCATTTTGCCCTTGTAGACACACTAAGGAAAGATATAGATGGTGGGTCTCCCGTGTGGGGGCCACACTGGAAGAGTACACCCCAGAGTCACACAGACAGAACCTTCAACAGGAGCAGACTTTCCCATAATGTCCAAAGCTGGGCCCTTGAGAAGGAAGCTTTCTAGCAGCCAGCTCTGCCAGGTCAAAGCCCATTCCCCACCTCACCCCTCCACCTCTCCAGAATGGAAAGATATTCTTCACGACTACAGGGCTGATGTCTGTTCAAAATGTATTCCTGCTGACCCCTGACACCATCTGATGACAGGGTAAGGCAGCAGGGGTTCTGCGAAGGAATTGGGTAGCCCCCATCACAGAGCTGAGGACCTGGAGCTGTGGGGTTCTGGGGCTTCACTGTTCTAGCCCTGCCCTGGGGGCCCCATTCACCAGTGGGACTGAGGCCCCAGAGGCAGCACCCGCCCAGAGGTGGCTGTATGCCATGGAGTGGATGGAGCCTGAAGTCCAGACTAAGTCAGGGGGAGGCCGAGGTTCGCTGAGCCCAGGATGCACTAGTATTTGGATCTCAGTTCTCCGGCAGCTGCTTGGGAAAAATAGATGTTTCAAACAGTTCACCTACAATTGGTCCCTGGTGAGAAGCCTATGGGAAATCAGAGGAGGCTTTTTAAGCTAAAAAGTATAAAATATAAGAACAAAGACAAGAAACAAGCCTGTATTGTGTATTAAGAAGCAATCTAGGGCTTCCCTCGTGGCTCACTGGTAAAGAATCCGCCTCCCAATGCAGGAGAGAATGAGACTGTTGGATGGCATCACCAATTCAACGGACAAGAACTTGGGCAAACTCTGGGAGATGGTGAGGGACAGGGAAGCATGGCATGTTGCAGTCCTTGGGGTCACGAAGAGTTGGACACAACTTGGCGACAGAAGAACAACAATGCATGAGACATTTTTGGAGTGTCCTTTTTTGGAATTCCTTCCCATTTAGGTCCCCATAGAGCACTGAGTACAGTTCCATGTGCTAAATACAGTAGGTTCTCACTAGTTACCTGTTCCATACATAGCATCGTATAGATGTCGTCACAACCTCCCAATTCATCCACCCCCATTTCCCCCCCTTGGTATCCATACATTTGTTCTCTGTGTCTCTATTTCTGCTTTGCAAATAGGATCATCTTTAGCATTTTTGGGCCAGGGTTCGACCCCTGGTCCAGGAAGATACCACGTATGTCAGAGTAACTAAGACTGTGTGCCATGACTACCGAGTCTGTGCTCTGGAGCCCGGGAACGATACCGCTGCAGCCGTGCACCCCAGAACCTGAGCTCTGCAGCTACAAGAGATGCCACCGGAGCGAGAAGCCTGCACACTGTAACTAGAGTAGCCTCCCCTCGCCACAACTAGAGAAAAGCTGCGCTGCAAGGCAGAGGCTAGAGTTTGGCCAAGCCCGGGCTGAGCTAGTATTTGGATCCCACCAAAATAAGTGAATTTAAAAAAAAATTTAAACCAGAGGCATTTTGGGTTTTGTTCCACCCTTTTTTTTTGGTTTTCTTTCTTTTTGGTTAAGGGAGGCGGGTTGGTTGGTTTAATTCCCTTTTTTTTTCCTTCAAGATATTTCAAGGAAATGTAGGATATAGGGGAATTGTATAAGAACTTCATAATATTTTATTTGGTTTAACTTTAAAATTTTTATTTTAAAAGCCTTAATAAAAGTCAGTGGACACACTTGTGTATGTGCTAGAGCCTATTGATGCAGCTAAATTCTGTTGCCAGTTTACCTTACTGAGAAGAGGTTTGAATAAACCTCCCCTCCTGTCGATGTAAACGAAGGTAGAAGGCTGTTGCAGAAGAAACAGCTTGAAAGAGCAAGTCACTAAGCCCAGATTCAAAGAGACGGGACTTAGCTGCTATCTCTCAACACTAGGAATGTGGCTGTTCACATTTGTGTGTGTCATTATTTTAAAATATGTATTTATTTCGCTGCATTGGGTTTTGGTTGTAGCATGATGGATATTCCTTGTGTCATGCAGGATCTTTCACTGGGGTACACAGGCTTAGTCACCCGGGGCATGTGTGATCTTAGTTCCCCAACTAGGAGTCCCCTGTATTGCAAGGCAGATTCTTAACCACTGGACCACCAGGAAAGTCTCTTGTGTGCATTTTTAAACCACTGAAATTTTTAACTACTTATCTATGTAAACTGGAGAAGGAAATGGCAACCCACTCCAGTATTCTTGCCTGGGAAATCCCATGGACAGAGGAAGCTGGCAGGCTATAGTCCACAGGGTCACAAACGAATTGGACATGACTGAGCTCCTTATCTGAATCTATGTGAATCAGGATTTTGTTGATACTTCGCAACCAAAAACAAGAGTAATTTAGGTTGAAAGGGCAGTGGTCATGCATAATCCCTGGCTTAAAAATTTTATACCCATCAAATAGTTTCCTTATTCTCATTGATTGATTTCATAATAATAATTGATTGATTTCATTGATTGACTATAAAATTCACTTATAAATGTATCCTAATTACTAATAGTAAGATCTAATGAAAGAAAAAAAAAGACTAGCTACTAAAAGACTAGCTACTGGACTATATAATCACCAAGGTTTTATTTTAGGATAGATCCCTATTTTGAGGGCTTCCCAGGTGGTGCTGGTGGTAAAGAATCAGCCTGCCAAAGCAGAGGTATAAGAGACTTGGGTTCAATCCCTGGGTTGGGAAGATCCCTTGGAGGAGAGCATGGCACCACACTCCGGTATTCTTGCCTGGAGAATCCCATGGACAGAAGAGCCTGGCGGGCTATAGTCCATGGGGTTGCAAAGAGTTGGAAATGACTGAGGGTGTGAGCTCATACACTCCACTTTGAGCTGCTCTAAATTCCTCGGGAACTTCAAATCCTTTAGGACCTCAAATCCAGTTGAGTCCCCACTGTAAACATTTCCCAGAGTGCCCTGGGATCAAACATTCCTCCCACCCCTTGGTGCAAAGCATCCTGGGAGCTTCTGTCCATTATGCTAGAAAACACGGTAAGCCTTCCAGACATTCACTAAATACCCATTCCTCTTCCTGCTGCCCCTGGAGAGACAACTGTCTGTACTGGGAAAGTCCCAGCTTAGTGGTGAAGAAACTGGGATGTGTGTCTCCAGTCTGCATTCATTAGTTGCTTGTAGTCTCTAGTGAAAACTTCATGTGAAATGTCTCTATTCCACAATTTTCTCATTCTGGAAAAGGATGAAAACAACCTGTGTGTGTTGTTGACCTCACGAGTTTATTAAGAGGATCAAACAACGTTTTAGATGTCACAGAACTCCTACCATTTAAAGGAATCGCTCAGGGACTTCCCTGGTGGTCTAGTGATTAAAACTCTACATCCCCAGTGCAGGGGGCTGGGGTTTGATCCCTGGTCATCCTGGTCTGGGAACCAAGATCTTGATGCCACATGGTGCAGCTAAAAAGAAATAAATATAAATACTCTACAAAATAAAAGTTAAAAAAAAGAAGTAATCATTCCCATTTGAGCGACTGTTATCCTCTTTGATTTTTTTCAGCTGAAGGGCCTAGAAACTCAGGGGGGCAGGAGAGTTGATTCAGGTATCAGGTACAGTCTTGGGTTCACACACGGGCCCTCCTCCAACTCACCGGGTCCTCTAGACTGCATACCTCTTCAGGTGCCCAAACCCAGGTTCTGATCCTGCTGGGTGATCCTGGCCCACCCCCACCAGCACCCATAGCCAAAGTCCTTTTTCTGATCTTCCAGTGCAGTCTTCACCCCCTCCACCCACTCAAGCAGGCCTGTTCCCTGCCCAGTTGCTGTGGGCGGCCCTGCCAAGTCAACCAAATGACCCCTGCTCCATCAGCCTCGGCTTGACCCTTGTTTCTGCTAGATTTCACCCATCACTTCTTCACCCAGCTTTCCAGCTGGTGCTAGTGGTAAAGAATCCGCCTGCCAATGCAGAAGATGCAAGAGTTGTGGGTTCAGTTCCTGGGTCGAGAAGATCCCCTGGAGGAGGAAATGGCAACCCACTCCAGTATTCTTGCCTGGAGAATCCCATGGACAGAAGAGCCTAGTGGGCTACAGTCCATGGGGCTGTAAAAGAGTTGGACACAACTAAACACAACACCCCCCAGTTTTTCCCTCCTGACCCTTGACAATCAGCTCACTGCCCACTCACACACTGTTGACCTTTCCTGGTGTGTGGCCTCCCCATTAAACTGTGGGTATCACAAGCCCGGAAGGGTACAACCATGTTGACTATTGATGAACTTGACTGCCAAAGGCTACACTTAGGGCTTCAGTAGAGGACAGAGCCTTTTTCCCCAGCTGGCTCTACATCACCCTCCAGAGTATGGCTTTCTGTCCCCTTGTCCATGCCACCATTGCTCAGCCCCTGAAGGAGAGGAGGCAGAGAGGAACTGCCAGCCTGCCCCGGCTTTCCTGGGGCAGGAGGGGGCGGGTAGTATGCGCGCCATCTCTCTCCCTCCTCCAACTCTGCCTCCCCCCTCCCCCCATTTGAACCCTTGCCCCATGGCTTTTCTCAGCCTGGCATCACTTGTCTCTCCTACCCCGATCTGGAAGCTCATAAAGAACAAAGAAATTTGGGGCCCCAATGCAACCTTTTAATTTCAAGCAGAGTCCCCCTCCCCCAGCATGATCACACACACACACACACACACACACACACACACACACACACGGCAGAAAGGGATCTCAGGGTCTGGGCAGGAACAAAACCCAGACCCGGGCAAAAATATATATATAATTATATACACATGTGTATTTGGAGAGAAGAAAAGCTGGGAGCGTGATTAGGGTAGGGCGGAGAGTAAGGTGAGGAAAGCAGCTGGGGGTGCCCCAATAAATTACATTCTTTAGAGAGCGTGATGGGGGGTGCAAGGGCATGGGCGGAACCAGTGGCCAGGACTCTCAGCCTGGCTCCTGATCCCATCCAAGGAGATGGGTTCCGCCCAAGACCTGGATGCTAGAAGGCAGCATTCTAGCCAACCCCGCCTGCAGGCTGATGGTGGGCTGGGGGTCTGTATAGGCGACATCTCCACTCTAGGCCCAGGCTTCTGGGAAAGCCACGGGGCTAGAGCAAGAGGCTTTGAAGCTTGGGGGTCGCAAGGGCAGGGCAGGGCGCGAGCTGGAGGACCAGGTGGCCTCCCTGCTGAAAGCTGAGAGGCGGGAGGCCCAGGTGCAGGGAAACCTGTCCCACGTGAGCTGCAGAGGAGTGCTTGGGTACACACGGGGTCCTGGGGTGCTCTCTGCCTACCTGGCTGCTCCCCACCCTCATGAGACCTCCTACCAGGCCCAAGAGATCTCACCACCCAGCAGACAGGCCTGACCACTAAGTGCTGTGTTCACTTCTCATCACTCTCTTCTGGGGACATTCAAGTGGGGGTGGGGCAGGGAGAGGATGCAAACATTAACTGTGTGTGTGCTGGGGTCCACAATGGGCTTGCCCTGTACTGTGAGGACCAGGGATGAGGGAAGGAGGCCCCCCTCGCCCGTCCCAGCTCATCATGGGAAAGAAAGTCCACACCCCACAGCCCCAATACAGCAGAGGTCTTGCTCCCCCTCAACTTGGGTGATGGAGCCAACCCCAGCCCTGCGCCACCTCCCTCCTCCCCCCACCAAGAGATGATGCTCTGGGGTCTTGGGACCCCAGCTCCAGGGTCCTGAAGCAGCAGAGGTGAGGGTCAGTCATGGAGCGGGTGGGGGCCATCCATCAGAAGAGAGAGGCCTTTTTCTTGAGTTCATTCCGCTTCCACAGAGCCAGCTTGCCAAACTCTTCAGGAGACATGGAGAAGACCCTAGAGAAGTCTTCCGCTGATAGGTGCCTCTGTGAGGGGACACACGGTGGCAGTTTAGGGGGAGGAGGCACAGCTGGGCCTGGGCCGAGTGACCAGGACGTGGTCCTCCCCCCGCAGGAAGCCCCTCCCCAACCCTGCACAAGGTCCCTGCATACCTCCAGCCTCATCCGATCCACACCTGGAGGCAACTTGGTTCGCCCCCTATTGGTCACCACCAGCATTTCATAAGGATAGATCTGGGGGTGGGGGAGGAGAGGGGGCCAGTATTAGGCTCCTAGAGGTGCCTGTCAGCCTTACCCCTGCCATTCCCCAGGCCCCCTTATCAGCCTGCAGGGGCTGTGGGGGCTCATGCCACCTTGCCATTCAATTTCCGTGCTGCCCCTCCCAACGTCAGCCCGGAGGACCCCTCAGTGCATTCACTTCTCTGGCTTCTCCCCCAGCTGGCCCTCCCCCGCTAGAGCCGGTTCTGTCCCCTGCCCGCCACCCCTTGCCTCTGCCCCTGCCCCTCACCTTCTGCTCCAGCACACAGGGCAGGGAGTTCCCCCGGTCCATCCTCCCCCTCTGGCCCTCTCCATTCTGGGGAGACCAAAGCCGCAGTGAGCCAGAGTGCGGCAAGGAGACCTCCCCAGCCTTTCCATGTGCTTCTTACGGCCTCACCAGGTGACTCCATGGCCCCGCAACCCCCTCCCACAGCTCTGCCAGTCTCCCCATCCATCCGTGGCTTCTGTGGTCCACATGTTCCCCTCCGGAGGGCACTCACCTGCAGGCCTGCGGGAGAGAAGAGTCATTATTGTTCAGAGGTGGCTCTGAGGTCAGCAGGCCTCCAACCTGCCAGTTCAGCCTCCCCACCTCCGGCCACAGAGCCCTGCCCACATCGCACGCACCGGCTGCCCCTGGGGCTGGATCAAGCCCCTTGCCCAGCATCAAGTCAGCCCTGTCTCTCACCTGGGCTTTCAGCCTCGCTCCCAGATGGGGTGAAGTCTGTAGACTGGAGCTGGACAGGACACAAAGGGATCAGAGGAGATGGGAGTGTACTGCATCATTCCCCTTCACCCCTGCCCGCTGCCCGCGTGCCCGAGCACCCCGTCCCTCACAGGCCCCACATGCCCACTCTACCCCAGCAATCTGTGCGTTCGGTGCTGGACCTTACCCGGCTCAGGGTGGTCCTGCCATAGGCGGGGAGGGAAGAAGATTTAGATGTTCCTGCGTGCAAGGCTGGAAGAGAGCAGGAGGCCCTGATTCAGTCCCTTTGGCCTGAGAGTCATTCCTTGGCCTCCGCTACCAGGGGCAGGGCCATGGGGAGGGGACTTGGGGGAACCCAGTGGACCTCTTTCGGTTTCCAGCTCCTGCCTCTTACCTGCAGCAGGTGACATCATGCTGCAGTTCTGAACTGTCCCTAATGCCTCCCCTCTCTTTAACGGATGTGCGCAAAATAGACATTTAGGCCAAAGGCTCAAGTGTTCAAATTCAGAGTCAGATGATGAGCTAAGTCATGTCTGACTCCTTGCGACCCTGTGAACCGTAGCCCATCAGGCTCCTCTGTCCATGGGATTCTCCAGGCAAGAATACTGGAGTGGATTCCCAGTATTCCCACTCCCTTCCCAATTCAGGGATCAAACCCACATCTCTCGTCTCCTGCATTGGCAGACAGGTTCTTTACCACTAGCGCCACCTGGGAAGCCCCAGGTGATCAGGCTCACCATCATACAATGAACCTCTGGGATACAAAAATAAGTCTAAAATAAATCAAAAGAATTGAATTATTACAGTTTTATGTTTAGCAATGTAAGTAATCAAATTTCAAATGCCTGATGTCATAAAACAGAAGCAGTCATTCTCCCAGCACTGTCAGCTGCTAGATGGCACCGCAGTCGCTTAGACTTGACATTCCCAGAACAGATGTCACTTGCAATTAGACATCTAATAATATCACTAAAGGCGTTCCTGGTGGCTCAAATGGTAAAGAATCCGCCTGCAATGCGGAAGACCTGGGTTTGATCCCTGGGTTGGGAAGATGCCCTAAAGAAGGGAATGGCTACCCACACCAGTATTCTTGCCTGGAAAATGCTATGGACAGAGGAGCCTGGCAGGCTACAGACCATGGGGTCGCAAAGAGTCGGACATGACTGAGCAACTTTCACTTTCACTTTCAATACCACTAAGCTTTCAAGAACTACAGCTTATAATTCAGGAAAACTGGTTTTCAGTAACAGGTTTGCTAGAAAGCTTCTTTGTTTGAGCTAATCTCAAAATTCCTTCATCTCCAGAGGCTAGACATTGCTGGCATTCTATAGCAATTGTTTTGACCAGAATTTTCTTTGTACGTGAAAGTTTAGCCTGGATAGACTCAAAACTGTGAGGAACAATTGTTTTCGTCAAACATTCTTATAAGATATGTTATTTGGAAATTTGTGAGAATAAAATGCGTTTAGGGGAACTTCGTTTTTTTCCTCTTGATACTTCTTACTTTTATATAGAGAATTGTCTGTTTTCACAACCCTCATTAATTATTTTTAAATAATATTTATTTATTTAGCTGTGCCAGGCTTTAGTTATGGCCTGTAGGATCTAGTTCCCTGACCAGGGATTGAACCTGGGGCCCCTGCATTGGAAGTGTGGAGTCCTAGCCACGGGACCGCCAGAGAAGTCCTTCATTCATTACTGAAGTTACTTCACTTTTGTGATAATAAGTATGCACTTCTCCCTCAATGGACTAGCAGAATTTCAACTATAAGATTTTCACTCCTAATTATGTCTAGATAGATTATTTATGTTTGAAAGAGACCATTACTTTCAATGTCACTATTAAAAAAGAATGACAAGCTTGTTCATAATTCTGCAATTGTCAAGGCTGATCAGCTATGCTAGTAACCTACTATTATCATAGGACCATTGGTCCCATACAAGTTCAGAGATGCCAACAATGATGCTGAGGCAGGCGTTTCGCTACTCAACTCTGCAAGGCCAAATGCACATTAAAGAGCTAATTTTGCCTGACTAGTTAATCCTGGTGGAGCATGAGGGCTGAATCCAACCTCCGGGGCATCTCTCTCTTTCTGCCTCATTCTTCAGGCCTTAACTATTTATTCTACGTTCTCTAAAAACGGCTACCATAACTCTTCCCACCCACACTGAAATGTCATCCGGCTGAAATATCAGTTCGATGACCAGGTGGATGGCCCAGCCATATATGAGCCTTAACAGTTCCTTGAGTCCCCTATCCCAGTGACCTTCACCTCTGCCCCACAGCAGGCAACCCCTTCCAGTGGTCAGTTCCTGGGTCCTGCTGCCCACAGTGGCCTCACCCTGACACTGAAGCCTGGGTATCCCACTTTGGGCTCACAGTGCCCTTCTTTGTTTGAAGTTTTCCATCAGCCACATCCCTGGTGCATCTGCGGGCCAGACTCATGGGGCCTCCAGCATCTGTATCGCCCACTTTCCCCTGACCTTCAACCTGTGACTGGGCATATAACCTTGAGTATTTTGAATTTCCCTGGTGGCTCAGACAGTAAAGACTCTGCCTGCAATGCAGGAGACCCAGGTTTGATCCCTGGGTTGAGAAGATCCCCTATAGGAGGGAATGGTAACCCACTCCAGTATTCTTGCCTAGATAATCCCATGGACAGAGGAACCTGGTGGGTTACAGTGCATGGGGTCCCAAAGAGTCGGATACAATTGAGCGACTAACACTTTTACTTTCATACTTCCATCCACATTTAGCAGCTCATCTGGCCACTTAGTTCCTCAGCACCTGCCTTACAAAACTCTAACCCTGGGACTTCCCTGGTGGCCCAGTGGCTAAGACTTCATGCTCCAAATGCAGGGGTCCTGAGTTCGATCCCTGGTCAGGGAACTAGATCCCACATGCTGCAACTAAAGATCCTGCATGCCACAATGAAAATCGAAGATCTTGCCTGATGCTGCTAAAACCCAGCACACCCAATAAATAAACATTTTAAACATTTAATATGAAGAAAAAACTCCTCTTTTAAAAACACAAACAAACAAAAAAACTCTAATCTGTATCAACCTTGCACTCCCCTTCAGCCCACAGGCTATGGGAAGCACCACCCTGTGTGGCGCTCTGAGCCATCAGTGAAGCCCACCGCATGTGGATGAGTATCACTACAGACTCTAACCCTCGACCCAGCCCCCATTCCCAGCAGGAACTGTTCTGAACCTTCGCCACTCTCACCGAGCCTCACCCTGAGCTCAGCCTGAGTGTGGGCTAAGTCGCTCAGTTGTGTCTGACTCTTTGCGACCCCATGGACTGTAGCACACCAGGCTCCTCAGTCCATGGGGATTCTCCAGGCAGGAATAGTGGAGTGGTCTGCCATTCCCTCTCCAGGGGATCTTCCCAACCCAGGGATCAAACCCGGGTCTTCCACACTGCAGGCGGATTCTTTGCCCAATTTCTCATGTGGCCTGTTCCCAAGTCCAAGTCCCCAGACCCTTTCAAGGTCAGCCTCCTGCATCCTAAGACTGGGTCTCTTGCCCCACTTCTTCCCAGCCGGTGCTCCCAGGGGACCATAGTTAAGTGCTCCTCAAGCCCTTAAGCCCTTGGTAAACCTTGTTAAGTCCTTGGTATCTTGTCCTTCTCTTCTCTCTCTTTGCACGATAGTATTTTTTCTTATGGTCCCACTACAACATATAAACTGAAGATTCTACCTGAGCCCTGACTCACCCGTCAAGCTTCCAACTCAGTCAAACTCAGCATCCCATCGATATGCACTTAAGACCCAACATATGCCAAACCAGTGTCTTCCCCTGACACCTGCCCCAGATTTGTCATTACCCGGAACCCAAGGCAAAACCCCACTCATCTCTCCCTCACTGCCCAAATCCAATCAGCCACTCAGTCCTGATGATTCCAACTCCTCTACAGATCTTCCTTGGCTTATGATGGAGTCACGAGCCCATAAATCATCGTTAAGTCAAAACACATTTAACAGGGCATCACTGGTGGTCCAGTGGTTAGGAATACATTTTGCAATGCAAGGTATTCCGGTTCGATCCCTGGTCTGGGAAGATTCCCACATGCTACAGGGCAACTGAGCTCATGGGCCACAACTCATGAGCCCGTGAGCCTCAACTACTGAGCCCATGTGCCACAACTACTGAAGCCTATGCACCCTAGAGCCTGTGCTCCACAATAAGAAAAGCCACTGCAATGAGAGGCCCTTCTACCACAAGTAGATTAGCCCAAGCTCGCTGCAACTAGAGAAAGCCTGCATGGCAATGAAGACCCATCACAGTCAAAAATAAAATAAATAACATTAAAAAATATACATTTAATACACTGAACCCACCAAACATCAGAGCTTAGCCCAGTCAACCTTAAATGTGCTCAGACCACTTAGAGGAGCCTACTGCTGGGCAAAATCCTCTAACACAAAGTCTGTTTGACAATAAAGTGTTGAATCTCTCATGTAGTCTACTGCATACTGTACTCAAAGTGAGAAACAGAACAGCTGTCTGGGTACAGAGTGGTTGTTACGTGTGTGGCTTGTTTCCTGTCCTAATGGTGTGGCTGACTGGGAGCATCTCAGGAAAGTACCGTGGGACTACCCTGGTGGTCCAGTGGCTGAGATTCCAGGCTTCCTGAGCGCGTGGGCGCGGGTTTGATCTCCTCTGCTGCACAATGTGGCCAAAAAAAGAAAAGTCAGGAGAGCATCACACTGCACATCACTAGCCTGGGAAAGGTCAACACTCAAAACTGGACGCACAGTTAGCTTCTCCTGAAGGTACATTGCTTTTGCACCATCGTAAAACTGAAAAATTTCAAGTTCGAGGTTATTACTATACAGACTGTGTCTGTATAATTCTCAAACTCATTCCCTCTTCCCTGGCCTATGAATATCTTTAATCTTTACCCAGACAACTGGAAAGGGTGGCAAATTGTCTCCAAAGATGGTTTGCAACATCATCTCTGAGCCTGTGTGCCCTTGGGTGGTTCCTCTCATCAAGAAGCAGAATCTCTTTCCTCTCCCTTGTGTCTGAGGGGCCTGATGAGCTGCTCTGACCAGAAGAAGGCACTGGAAGGATGCCCTCTGGCTTCTAAGGCCAGGTAGTGAGAGGCCTCAAGCTTCCAGTTTGGGGTACTCAGATCTGTCCCCCTCCCCTCCAGCCGCCATGTTGGAAGGAAGACCAGGCTAGCCCTGGTGATGTGCACTATGGCACCAAAGCCCTGGCCACTCTACCACAGGCTGTGTGCTCTGAAATTCCAGACTTCCAGAGGCCCTTTCCGCTGGCTGGATGTCTGTTGCTCCTGGCCTTTGCTCCCACACCATCCCTGGGATCTTCACTGCCCTTCTCCCCAACTCACTGTGTCTCGTTCTGCAAGAATCCAACTCTGGAACCCAGGCCTTGTCAGCATCCTTTCAAAGCACTCTAAATGTAGCTCTCATCTGCCAGCACCTGCTATGCTATGCTCAAACCCCAGGTTCCATGTTACTTCTCCCCATGCCCTGAAGCTACCAGAAGGCAGCACTATAGTGTTTTACTCTTTATATCCCTAGGGATCCAGAACATGGTGAAGTGTGAGTCGCTCACTCAGTCATGTCCGATGCTTTGTGATCCCGTGAACCATAGTCCATAAGGTTCCTCTGTCCATGGGATTTCCCAGGCAAGAATACTGGAGTGGGTTGCCTCTCCTTTCTCCAGGGGATCTTCCCAACCCCGGGATAGAATCTGCATCTCCTGCGTTTCCTGTATTACAAGCAGATTCTTTACATTCTGAGCCACCAGGGAAGACCTAAGAATGTGGTAGTCACCCAATAAATGCTTGTTGAATTAAATGAAGTGTGCTAATTCTGTTGTAACTGATGCCAGTTTTTGTCATCTCACTTTGTTCCATCGCTGGTGCTCTTGCCCTAAGGAGAGTGTGAGCACCCTGAGCCAGCACCGGAATCTTCTCCATCCTGTACACCCACAGTAGCCCAGGGCTGGGCGTGGGACACACTCAGCAGAGTATTTGATTCAGGGTCTAGCCAGGTGATTCTGAGCCCCCGCGGTGACACTCACAGGTATGGAAGGGTGTCCGGTCGGGCAGAGAGCGGGTTTTCCTCCGGATAGGCAATGACTTTTCCATCTCTTCTTTCAAGATCATCTTTCCCAAGTTGGAAGTAACCTGGGGAAGGAGAAAGGAAGATGGATCCAAGGCAGCATCAGTACTTGTTTCTTTCTTTTTTTGTTTTTAATTTTTTGACTGCACCGCATGGCCACTGGGATCTTAGTTCACTGACCAAGGATCGAACCCGTGCTCCTTGCATTGGCAGCATGGAGTCTTAACCACTGGACTGCCAGGGAAGTCCTGATACTTGTTTCTCCTCTCCAAAAGGTATGGAGTTGGGTGTAGCACGGGCAGGAGCGGGGACAGAGTTCCTGAAGGGCTGGCTGGTAGCCCAGAGCCCGTGGAGCCTGTCCTTCTTGTGGGAAGCGCTGCCACACTGGGTCTGGTCACCCTTGAGAGCAAGGAGGCAGAGCTGCTTGGTGCTAACTCTGCCCCAGGGGCCTCTGCACCCCAGGCCACAATGCCCAGAGCACAAGCCCATGTCACCAACAGCGGCCTTTCTGTGGCTCCCTGGACCCCTTCTCTCTGCTTGGCGGCCAGCAGTCCGCTCACTGCTTTCTCCTCGCCCCAGGAACTACTGTGGCTGCGGAAGCCTGGCACTGTCCACGCCGCCCTTTCCTGTGCTTTTGGTCCGAATCATAAGTGGCGGCCCCCACGGTGACATGCAGTCCCCGTGTCCCTTCCAAAGCATAGCCGGACATCCTGGCAAAGAAGGGGAATTCCTCACATGTTCTGACCAGTACGCTCTTCAGACATGAAGTCACTCAGATCAGAATGGAAAACACCGGAAGGATGGCCTGGCTTCCGTGGCTCTGAGAGGGCTGGGAACTTCCGGTTTAGGATCGCCTCGCTCCTCTCCAGCCGCCATGTCGGAAGGAAGCCCAGGGCGACACAGGGAGGCGGGCGGGGGCCTCCAGACGCTACCTTACTGAGTTCTTCTCTCTGCCGCTCCCTGAGTGCCTTCATCTCCTCCCCAGAGTCGTCGTCGTCGTCCTCCTCCTCCTCCTCGGCCCCCCTCCTCGATGCCTTCCGCTTCCGCCATTCTGTCTCTGGGGGACACAGGAAAAGCAGGCACATCAGTCAATCAACCACGCACTCAACTCGCGTCTCTCTAGGGCTGCACCTTGAAGGGAACACCACAAATCGTTAAAATAAAAGCACTGTTTTCTAGTCTTGCAGTGAAGCTGGGTAGGCCACACATGCTCACAAGACTTAAAAGTCACTGGGGACCAAGACCTCATCTCATTTCTCTTTCTCTTTTCAGAACTCTCATCACAGAGCCTGGGACACAGTAGAAATTTGACAAATGTCTATTAAGCAGTGAAAGAAATGAACAGAAAGTGAATGAATGACTAACAAGCAGGGTCATTTACACCAAGAGGGATGGGAATGCTGGGGATGGGGGAGCAGGAGCCTGGAGGGTTCATGCAGGGGGTGGGGGTGGGTTCCTGGGGCTTCAGCCAGGCCTACAAGGCAGTGTCTGGGCCTCCCTCTCCCCTCTCCAGCAGTCTCTCCTACCCACAACAGCCAGTGATGGGGGGCACGGCCAGTAGTCCGTTTCGATCTTGGCTGGCTGGTTGGGGTCGGGAGGCTGGGCTGCAGGGAACTTGGAGGATTCGATGATGAGGTCCTCAATGGGGTGCTTGCTCTGAGGGCTGCCTCCCGTGGACTCTGCAGGGGTTGGGGGAAGGTCAAGGTCAGCCCAGGCATACCCCGCTCAGCAGGCCAACCCCCACCCCAGCTCCCCACTCGCTCACGTCTCCCTCTTCACACCTGTAAGATCGTGGATACAACAGGAATACATGAGGAAGAGCACAGGGCATGTTACGAACATCTCTGCTCCTATGGCCCTCCCACCCTCAGTGCAGCCTCCCAGCAGGTGGCGGGAAAGTGGGCGCTGGTCCATCAGGGGAACCCTCACCTCTCTGCTTGTAGATGGGGGGCTTCTTGTAGATATTGGAATCTGGGCGAGTGGTCTCTGTGGAGAGGGAGCAACAGTGGATGAGAAGGAGGTGGTGATGATGGGGAGGGATGACAGTGATGATGACGGGAAGGCTGGATCAGAGAAGGGAATGGAGACATGGATTGGGAGGAGGCAGGAAGTTCTCGGGGCCCTGCCAAGAGCCAAGACAGAACTGGAGATCCTAGAACTGTCCCTCCCTCAAGGATTGGGATGTTTTACACTTTTCTGTCTGGGTGGGAGGGAAAATGCAACAGGTCCACCCTGTCTGGGAGCTCTGCCTGGGTTCCAGCGTTAGTCAGTTCTGGTGGTGTGCGTATACTCCAGAGCATAGGGGACTGAGAGTAAGGCAATTGAGTTCCTGAAGGAAAAAAAGAGGTCTTAGGGCAAGGATGTAGCCATGCTGACAGTAGACCTACCAGGATGGTGGAAATGGGGCAGGCTGGTCCGGGGGGTCCCAGCAGTTCTGGGGGCTGAAGCCTGAGAGAGGGTTCCAGGAGACCGGCTCTCTGCCCACACCTGCGGAGCAGAAGTGTGGTTCACTGCAGCTCCAGGTCCCCCACCCGACCCCTTCTACTATCTTGGTGCTCCCACCCAGCAGCCCACACGCCCCCAACCCCAGGGCAGAGGAGGGCTATCCAAGGACTTGATCTACTAATGGTGCCTGATCCAGGAGAAAGAATTAAATGAGATCTTGGGTCATACACAGATGGACCCAGAGCTGGCCAGTGACAGGACAAGGTCCACTGATTCCATCACCCCCTAGGTTCTGCCGAGCCCAGTCTGGATGTGTGTGGGGCAGGGGTTAGCCCCATCAGAGCAGGGCTGGACCAGTGTCAGGTACGGGGCAGACTCACCTCTGGGGATGGTGGGGGGGATGTGGATTTGGGTGACAGCGAGCGCTGTGAATGGAGAGGAGGCTGGTCAGAGCCACAAGGGTGGGATTAAACCCTCGTCCCTAGGACCCCAGGTGGGCCACTTCTTCCCCCACGCCCAATCCTGCAATTGCTCAGCTGATTTCTGGGCCATCTCTTCTCTCTCAGTCCTTGCCAGCTCTCAGGGCTGGCCCTCCACCCTCTCTTTCCTGAAGAGGGTCCTGAAACTTTCCCGAGGACCCACGAAGAAGTGGAAGAAGCTGAGGATTCTGGAGCAGTGTCCGTGTGCTCTGAGGGCCAGCTGAAGGTGGCTCTGGCCCTGATCCCAGAGCCGAGCAACGACGGGAAGGGACAAGACCCACAGTAACCAGGATGGAGTCGGGGCCCCTCACCAGGCATTTAAGTCTCCCCATAGCCTGGCCCTCTCTCTCTGCTCAGCCATGACATGGCCCCCTTCTCCAATACAGTTTACAAAATACCTGTCCCAAGCTATCTCATGCATTTGACTACCTGGTGAGGTGGACCGGTAAAGGTATCACTTCTGTTTTGGAGGAGGGGAAACTGAGACCACACCATCACACAGGTCACGCTCAGCTAGGACTTCCAGCCTCCGAATTCAGGTTGCTAAAGTCAGCCTCTGATCTGCTGGCTTCTGTATGTTTTCCACAAATTTGCTCACTTTCTGCCCACTCGTGCCCCATTCCTACATGACCCCACTCTGTGCTGCTATCACTCAATCATGGCCTCTCCTGCTCTCTACCTGGAACCAGCCGGAGGCCAATCCATCTCTGCCTGTTCTGCAGTACAAACACTCAGTCACCAGCTGACTGGTGATTCCCGCGCACAGGTTCTCTTTCTTGTTTTGGCATCTGGCCTCCAGGAAAGAAAGTGTGAGAGGGATTCTGTTCCCCACCCAGTGCGGCTGGGGGAGCCTTTGCCCCGAGTCCCATCCAAGAGGACCCTTCCACCCTTTACCTCCCGGCTTCTGGGCAGCTCCACGTGTTCCAGCAGAGAATAGGTAAAGTGGGGCTCATAGATCATGAGGTCAGGCCTCTCGATGTCCAGGATGGCCTTGTCCTTGGGGATGGCAGCCAAGTCCTTATAGCCCAGCACTTGATTGTCCATCTTGGCCTGAAGGGAAATGGTACCCATGGAACAGAGGAGCCAAAAGTCTCATCTAGAATACTGACCTTACAAGCCCGATTTGCAATTTATTAGGAAGAAGATGGGCAGCCATGATAGAGATCAGCTCCTATAAGTCAACATTTCTATTGTTTTCATTCTAAGGATTTAAAGTGAAAGTGTTAGTCACTCAATTGTGTCTGACTCTTTGTGACCCCATGGATTGAAGCCCACCAGGCTCCTCTGTCCGTGGGTTCTCCAGGCAAGAATACTGGAGTGAGTTGCCATTCCCTTCTCCAGGGGATCTTCCTGACCCAGGAATCGACCCTGGGTCTCCTGCACTGCAGGCGAATTCTTTACTGACTGGGCCACCAGGGCAGCCCGAGGGGTTTTCAGTCAGTTCAGTCGCTCAGTCGCGTCCGACTCTTTTTGACCACATGGACTGCAGCCCGCCAGGCCTCCCTGTCCATCACCAACTCCCGGAGTTTACCCAAACTCATGTCCATTGAGTCGGTGATGCTAGAGTAATCTTAAAACAATGATAGTCCTTCAGCTAGCACTTTGGGTACGAGACAGGACCAGACCAGCAGGAGGGGGACGCGGAATCTTCTCTGGATCTGGGGCTTTCTCTGCTTGCCAGCCCTGGCAGGACCATCGTCTGAGTGAGGCTGCCCAGCACACTGCCTGTCCCCGACTCCTCCCTCCTCCCAGCCTGAGGACTCTGGTGGCCGACGGGTACTCACCACGATGCTGGAGGGAGAGCCGGGAACACTGGAGTCTCGGGAGGAGCTGACGCTCCCAGGGGAGGTAAGTGGTTGCTGGGGAGAGCGAGAAGGCAGGCAGGTGGGAATGTGCGTGGGTGCCAGGGCCGGGCTGGAGCAAGCGGGCAGGGGTCGGGGAGGGCTTCCCTAGGCCTCCGGGGCCCCGGGGTGCGGTGCCACCAGGTGGCGCCCTCGACTCCCGGACCTGACCCTCTGCAGTTAGCCGGGCCCCCAACCGCCTGCCCCTCTGTCTCCAGCATCCCACTGCCCCGGCGTGGGTGCAGCCCCGCGCACCTTCTGCAGCCGTTCCATGCAGCAAGGATGTGGACGGTCGGATCACTCTCGGGATCCCGTGAGCGAGGGGAGACGACGCGGGCGTCAGGCTCTGTCCGGCTCCTGGGCGCTGCGCGCTCGGGGCCGCGAGAGCAGAGAGGGCGCTCCCCCAGGCTGTGGCGCCCTCATCCCTCGGTGACTGTCCAGGCTGCTGGCCTAGTGCAGGGCCTGGAAGGGGAGGGAGAACGTGCCAGCTGACCCGGCAATCTCCGAGGGCGGGGGCGAGGACAGCCCCTCTGGCCCCGCGTGTCTCCGGGGAGCAGGGCTCCGGCTTTCTCATTTGCTCAGCCCCCGGGGACAGCGAGCTTGCCTGTGGCCCTCGGCAAGACGGGAAAACGGGCGGGCTGCACTTGTTTTTAGCCATTGTTCTCTGGTTGGAAAGGAAATGAGGGCAGGGGTCAGCCGTTCCCAACGCAGTCTCCACATCCCTGCTTCCTCCCACCTGCCCGCTGGCCTGTGGTCAGTTTCAGGCCCAGGCTCTCACTCCCTTGCCGCGGCCTTTCCCTGGCTCTGTTCTTGGGCCGTTGCCCCTCTCCCGCTTAACCTACTGTCCAAGGTACCACACCCTCTCATAGCCCAGAAAGGTGTGGTGGATTTTTTGTTTTTATTTTTTTGCCCCACATTATGGCATATAGTATCTTAGTTCCGCCACCAGGGGATGGAACCCATGCCCTGGGCGGTGGAAGCACAGAGGCTTAACTCTCCCTGGACTGACAGGGAAGTCCCCTGCCTCCTCAGAAAGCTTTAACACAGAAGGTCTTAGTAATACTGTGAGGTGGCTACAGCAGGAGGGAGGGACAGAGCGAAGGCAGCTTGGTGGGAAGCAGGCGGGTCAGGACTGGGGCCTCTCTGCCCTGGGGAGGGTCCATGCCCACAGGAGGGAGGGGAGCCACAGTGCCCTGTGCCTGTCCCGTACAGCGGGCACGCTCACGTGCAGGCATTTAGCAAAGCGCCGTGGGGACCAAGGCCACATCCTAGTTCCCTACCATCTTCAGATGCCTGAGCTGAGGCTGCCCTCTGAGCTACTACTTTGCTGCAAGCCAGAGCCCCCTGTTCAGCAGGAAGGCCTCCGGGCTGGATCCTGGAGAGCTGGGTCCTGTCTGCTGTAAAGATTAGGAGCTCCCCTGGGGACACAGCCCAGGTCTCCTTCCTCAGTAACTCATTAGCCATCCTCCCCACACACCCCTGGACCAAACACATAATAACCATTCATTTAATGCCTGGCTGAGTTTCCAATGTGATGGTGACAGTAGGACTGTCTTCCAGCTGCTGGCAGTAAGCCACAGAATGAAGAAAGCTGATGGCGACAAGAGGTACAGGGAACAGGCAGCAATCACGTGGTGGTTATGAGTGTGGGCTCTGGCCTGGAGTGCCTGGGGAGAGGAGACTCGGCTACTCAGAAGCTGTGTGACCTTGGGCAAGTTCCTTACCCTCTCTGTGACTCACATTCTCATCTGAAAACTGGAAGATGGTCACAATATCTGTGTTATAGGGTTGTTCTGATTATTAGGCAAGTTATAACATGTGAAGTGTTTGAAATATAAATTCTATGTAAAATGTTAACTATTATGATGTCTATCTTCCTGAGGACTGATGCATTTAGATTGCTTTTTCAACTCTTTGCCACAGAAGATCATGAAAGATAGGTCATCAGTGCTCCCAGTCTTATCTGTTACTCTTATATCAGGCCATTCTATTTCTCACTGTCTCTCCACTACCAAACTGCCTACTTGAGCAGAGGCAGCTCACTTCCACTTCCCTGCTTTTGTGCATGCCGTTGAACTATTCTCCTCTCCCAGATCCCACCCATCCTTCAAGCATCATCCTTAACACTTCTCCTCTAGGAGACCTTCCCAGTTATTCTAGTCCTCACTGATAAACTCTAGTCTGAATTCCAGTGGGACTTAAAAAGAGACCACGTAACTCAGTCCTTGATTATATGTTGCCTGACATGTATTTTTGCTAACTAGAATGACTGCTAATTTCTACAATAGCTATTATTTTTTTGAATATTCAAGCTGGGTATTTTGACAAACGCTTTACAAGGATTATTTTATTTCATCCCCCTAATAACCCTATAAGGTAGGCCTGTTTTACAGGTGAGAAAACAGAGGTTCAGAGAGGTTAAAAACTCGTCCAGTGTCGTGGAGGTGAAAATGACTGTGTCTTCAGCACTGGCATGATTCACAGTGCCTTCCCAGTACAGTGTCAGGTTCATGGTGTGGACAGACTAGCATTTGCACATTTCTTAAGCCTTTTGGGAATTTTAGAGTCAAGCATTTCTAAGACGAGACTCTGACCATCAGGGTTAAACCAGGTGTTTAGTGCCTGTGGAAAGACTCCATTCCAGAGCTTCATCTTTCTCTTGCTTTCTTAACACTTACTTTGTAATGCTTTTAACTAGGTGTTTGAGGACCAGAATAAACTCTAGTATATATTCAAAGAGCTATTAGCTCCACCCTCTCACTCCTCTTTCATCTTTACCTTGTTAACAGACAGTATCAAAATAGCCATACACTTGACTTAGTCCTAGAGGCAACCACTCATCCATCCACCCACTTACCCATCCATCCATCCACCCATCCACTTACCCACCCGGTTGTGTATTGTTTTATCCATCCATTTACCAAATACTTTTTGAGCACCTATTCTGCAATGACCACAGACCATTGTTGTCTTATGGAGAACAGAATGATGAATCAAAGAAGCTAAGCTGCCCCTCCAGAAATGAGGCCATGTGTGTAAATAATACCCATGCAAACAAACAGTTACATATGCCAGATAAGATAGTATAAGGGGTGATGCAGTGGTTAGAGCTCTGCACTCCCACTGCTGAGGGCCAGGGTTCAATCCCTGGTTGAGGGACTAGGATCCCACACACTATGGGGTGCAGTCAAAACAAAACAAGATGGTATAAGGGGCTGTGAGAGGTCACAGGAGAGAGGAATAACTCCTAATGAAGTATCAAGAGGTGGGGAAAAAATTTCTTAGAGGCGTTGGTGGTTTTAGTCACTAAGTCATGTCTGACTCTTGCTACCCTATGGTCTGTAGCCCACCAGGCTCCTCTGACCATGGGATTTTCTAAGCAAGAATACTGGAGTCGGTTGCCATTTCCTTCTCCAGGGGATCTTCCCTCCCCAGGGATCAAACCTGCATCTCACACATTGCAGGCAGATTCTTTGCTGACTGAGCTGCAATGGAAATCCTTTCTTTGAAGAGGAGGTATTTAAGGCAGGCCTTGAAAGGTGCCTAATTGGAGATCCTGCAAAAACTAAAAAGGTATCCTTGGAAGAGATAGCAGCATGATGGAAACTGGAGACACAGGGAAGCACTATGTCTGTCTGGGGACAGCAAAATGGCTGAACTGTGGAGCTTAAGAGGTTGAGACAGTTTTAGGGCAGGAGGCTGGGGACCAGATTGTAGATGCCTTGAGTTTAGACTAGAGGATTCCGAATATATTCTGTGGGCAACTGGGACTATGGAATGCTTAGGAACTTTTTTCAAAATGAAGAAGTGACAGATCTAAGCAGTGCTTTGGGGAAATGGGTCTGGCTGCAAACTGGGAGATGGATTAGAAGGTCCACAGAGAGACCAGCCAGGAAGTCATGGCCGTAGTCCAGGCAGGGAATGGTGAGGCACTGGACTGGGGCCTGGGGCCGAAGAGGCAGAATGTGAAAAACTCCACCAGAGCGAGGAGCAGGTAGTGACAGAAGGGGAGGCAATGAGTTCACTTCTTGCCAGATTGCTACTGAGGTGGGGGCAGTCGCGGGAAACACAAATTTGGGAGCCATTTGAGCTAGAGGTGGTAGTCCACACATGAGGTTGCCAATGGAGAAAGAAGATCAAAAATAGCACTCTGGGAAGTACCTGGATGGACTAGAAGAAAAAAGGAGCTGGAGATGGCCTGAAGGGAAGGTGAAGATGACGGCAAAAACTGGACAACCAGCTCTCTGAGGGCAGGGGTAGACCTAGTGATTCTTTGAATTTTCAGTAAAGGACCTAATAAACAGTGAAGGTAAAAACAAAACAGTGAAGGTGCAATAAATACTGAGAGAAAGGGTGGTGTGTGCGCATGCTCAGTCATGTCTGACTCTGCAACCCCACGGGCTGTAGCCCACCAGGCTTCTCTGTCCATGGGATTTTCCAGGCAAGAATACTGGAGTGGGTTGCCATTTCCTTTTCTAGGGGATCTTCCCGACCCAGGGATGGAAGCCCTGACTCCCAAGTTGCCTGCATTGCAGGCTGATGCTTTACTACTGGAAAGAATGCCACCTGGAAAGAAAGGCATCTGCGGAGGGAAAGAGGGGTTGAGAAAGAATGTCATGAAGGAACTTCCCTAGTGGTCTGGTGGCTAAGACTCTACATTCCCAAAGCTGGGGTCCTGGTCAGGAACATTCTACAACTAACAATCCTGCATGCTGCAACTGAAACCTAGTGCAGCCAAATATATATATATTTTTTTAATTTTTTTTTTTTTTAAGAGAGAGAATGTTGAGAAGCCCAGAGTCCATTGCCCAGAGAAGGGAAGATGTGTGGACAGGAGAGACAGCTCACCAGTCTGGCTGTCAAGGCCGGGCAGCCTCTGAGAGCATCCGCAAAGTGTGAAGCCTCCTTGTTGGAATGGGGTGCAGGGCAGAGGGGTGCAGGTGACCAGGATGCATAGGCCAAGGAGGAGCAGTTCTGAGAAGTGTGATAGGCAGGCAGGAGGCAGGAGAGGAACTATGGAGGAAGTGAGCCTGGCTGAAGGTTTTTCAGGAAAAGGGAGACTTGAACAGGTTTGCAGGCAGTAGGGAGTGAGGAGTAAAGGCTCTCAGTGGAGAGTGAAGGGTAGAGAGAAACAATACGGCTCCTCTGAAAGGAGAAGAAAGGGAAGTTGGTAACTGCAACCTAGGGGCATTTAGAGGGAGCTGATCCCAAACAGGAAGCTTCTATTTTCCCAGGAAAATGGAGAGAGAAGGGCATATGCAGACCCAACACGTGAACTGAAAGTGAAAGGGTTAGTCTCTCAGTTGTGTCAGACTCTTTGTGACCCCACGGACTGTAGCCCGCCAGGCTTCTCTGTCAGTGGGATTCTCCAGGCAAGAATAGTGGAGTAGACTGTCATTCCTCCTCCAGGGGATCTTCCCCACCCAGGGATGCAACCCTGGTCTCCTGCACTGCAGGAGAATTCTTTACCATCTGAGCCACAGGGAAGCCCAGGTGGGTTAGGCAGAGGCTGAAGAGAGTAGAAAGGACTGTGAGGGTCATGGTGGGGCCTGTGGACAGCTGAGCAGCTGGAAGAACAGAACTTCTACGTGTCCTGGAGCCTCAGGCTGAACCTGGGGGTGGCCCGGGCCACCTTCCCTTGAATACCATTTGTGGGTGGCTACAGCGTGGAGCAGTGACTGCCCATCAGCGTGGTCACTGCCCAGACAGTGAGGGGAGGGGGCCACCATGAACCAGCTCACAGGTTACAAGGTCTTGAACTAAGACCCCCCACCCCAACTCTCCCCTGCACAAACACCGTCCTACAGGCGCAGCCACTCAAATGATTCAGAATAACGATGTCCGCGCTCTGGCCCCGGCCCCTTCTGCACAGAGCCCCACTCATCCCCTGGGCTGGGTCTCCTCGCCTTCTGCCCTGAGCCACCTTCTTTCAGGAACCTGCACACCAGCGCCTGGTGAGTTGGCCAGCACTCTGCGGCAACTGTTAATATCTTACCCTTTCGGGGACATGGCACGTTAATTCGGGACTAACCTTAAGGAGTGAAGGTCTTTCTAGTGAAATATTAAGCCAGCAGAGAAAATGTTTTGGAGTGGAGCAGGGGCGTGGGGGGAGGGAAGGGCGAGGGGGAAGGGAGGGGCGCAGGGAGTGTTCTCGTGGCTTCTCTCAAATCACGTCTTACGCCCGCGAACCGCTTACTACACCCACGCGTAGCCCCTCCCAAAGCCAGTTTCCTCGCGCGTCCGCACCAGCTGCCCCTGCTCGATCCGCACCTGCTCCCAGCCCGTGCACACCCCTTGTCTCTGCACGTGCACTCCCAGCTCCCGGCTGCCTCGGGTGTACGGACGAGAGGGCAGGCTGCAGCAGGAAGGGAGGGCGCCATGGGAGGAAAGGGAAAGCGCCGCGGAGGAAGGCCAGCCCAGGTGGCGGAAGGGCCCGCTCAGCTGCGCCGCGACTCCCAGTCCTTCCATCTCCGCCCCACCCTCCCCCAGCTGTGCAGCTGCGCCTTATCTAAGCCCCCAGCCCGGCCCCACCTCAGACCACCCGCCCCGTCTCCATAGCAACTAGAGCCGCTTGGCCTGGGTGATAAGGCCCGCCCATCCATCCCCGCGAGGGCCGGTTCCAGGTAGGAGCTGAACCTGCCTGGGCTCCCTGGGCTTTGAGAAATGGAGGCTCGACCGGCAGACCCGCGGTCTGGATCCTCTAGTCAACCTTCCCCCGCCCGGGTTCTAAACCAGCCACCACTTGCTCTGGGCCAGGGACTTGCACCCATCCTCTCTTGCTTCACACAAGCTCACGTCTCCCCATTAGGCGATGAGTATACGGCTGAGAGACTGACTTGCCAACTGACCCCGCCTCTACCCCCGCACCTCCCCATAAAAGCCAAGCTGGAATTCCTACCCAGGCCTATCTCGGGTCGAAGCCAATGAATGTTCTTTTCCGTGGGTCCCCAAAGATCCCACTTTAATATGGACTTGGGATTTGGGGTCCTGAGCGCTAACCTTATACTGCGGAGCCACCAAAATCCTGCTCGCTGAACTGGCCTGTGGACCAGGAGCAGAGAGGCTGGGGGTGGGGGTTGGGGGGTTGGCATACGGGCTCTGTGCCTTGGGGCAGGGACAAGCCAGGCTGGAGGCTGGCTGTGCAGACAGTAAACGGGTTACGAAATGGGCAGGCTGTCCCCGTATGCTGGGGGTCAGGTGGGCGTGATTCTACGCCTCTCCTTTTTCACCAGTTTCCTTTACAGTCCCTGCCTGCTTCACCCCGTCTCTGAGTCCCATCCCGCTCTTTCTGCTTTCCATCCCCTTTTTCCTTCCTTTCTTCATCTTTCTTCCCTCACTCTGTTTCCCTTTCACCCTCTCCCTCTCCCGGCCCCACCCCCGCAGTTACTGTGGCAACAACTCAATGCCAGAAATAAAGGCAGGATCCAGCTAGGTCACCAGTTTCCAAAACAGCATCCCAGGGTGGAGAGGGGAAGGGTGGGCCAGAGCAGCCTGGCCCGACAGGGGAGGCCCTGAGCCTGGGGTCTGTGTCTGTCTGGGTAGGGGGGGACACCCACAGTTGCTCCTCAGATCCCCCTACCCTGGGCTGGTGGTTCATGGGAACATCCTGTGCCAAGCCTGTGCCTGCACCTTTTTAAGACTGTTGGAGTACCCACCCTGTCCTCTCATTTTATCCTTCTTCCCCACCCCCATTTTTAAGCCCTGCTGTATCTGCTAGGAGTAGGGTTGGGGTTCCTCTAATGCCAACCCTCAGCAGCACCCTCTCACACTCTGCTGAAGCATCATCACGCAGGGGCAGGAGGGCCCAAAATCTGGGTCCCGTCTTGGGACCCCAGCTGCTCAAGGTCCTGCTGCCCCTTACTTCTGATGACAGCAGGGCCCGGCCCTAGGCTCCCCCTTCCTCCCTGTTCCCCTAAATATGCATCTCATCTTCTGGTTTCTTTTTGCTGTCTCGTGTTTCTGTATCCTCAATCTACACCCCCAGCTCTGAAGAGGCTCCTCTTTCTGTGTCCCCCAGCCCCTCAGGTTTGCTTGGTCCTCAGCTTGTTCCTGCTCTGGCCTCTATTTACAGCTGGTCCTGTTGGCAGCTGGTGGTGTCACTTTAACCCAATGGATGGATAGGGCTGAGGAGATGCAAGGAAGATGGCCTCCCAAATTCAGTTTCCTGAATCCCGGGGCCATCCCTCTTCTGCTCTTTACATACACGCAGAAGTTCCGAAGGAGGAATTCCTCAGGTCTGCCCCCCCAGGTGGACAGTTTGGCTCAGGTGTTGGACACGTGGCCCTGGCAAGGCTAGCAGCGCGGAGGGCAGACTCCCCCTTAGGGGCACAGGCACTTCACCTGCACAGGCAGCCCCCGCTGGAACGCAGCGGCAGCGCAAACACCTGCTTGCAAGATCACGCCCCCACTCTCCCAGCAAGGCCCCCCACGCTGCCGTGCGGCGCCCCTGACACCCACTCACACCCCCACCTTGTCTCCTGTTCTCCACGCCACAGCCACCTGGCCCATGCGCTGACACCCCCTCCCCAAGCACGGGCCTGGCAAGGCACACAGAGCCCCCCTCACCCATCCCGTGGGCACTTCCTGTGTGCCCTCCTTCCCAAAGCAAGGCTTTTCCCATACCTATCCTTGCTCCCCTGACTCTTGCATCCTGGCAACCCAGGCCCCCCAGAAGGAAACACTCTGCCCCCCTAAGAGCAGGGAGCCTGGCCTGCCAGGAAGAGGGAGGGGCCGAGCTAGCAAGGGGATACTTCTGATCCTCCTTGGGTGCCTTTGCATCTGCTCAGCTCCCCACCCTCTACCCACCGCCCCTTCAAGCATTTCTACAGCCCACACCAGGAGAGCACCATAGTCAGGCCTGCGGCCACGCCCTGCCACCTAGCCTGGCCAGCTAAGGGCTGGAAGGGGGCTCCTTGGACCCCTCCCCCAAGGAGCAGGCCCCACACCAATGGCACTCAGGCTTCCGAGCGAACTACTCCCCTCTCGAGCATCTGTGGCAAGGTGGCAGGAGACTGGCAGACCGGCAGCCCCCACTCCCCTCCCATCATTCAGCAAAGACAGAAAGCTCTCCAACCCACCCAGGCGACTCACCCCACCCCCCACAACCCACCATCATTGAGACTTCTGGCCAGCATTGCTAGGGGAAAGGGGCTACTGGGTGATACCGTGGCTCACCCCAGCCCCCCAAATCAGAAGGAGGTGGATCAGACCAAACCCAGCTAGCCTCAGGGTCCAGCCCATTCTTCCACTGAACAAGGGGCCATAGCTGACCCCTCCCCAGGGACTCCTGCCCCCACTCAGAACCTCACTTCAAGGCAGGTGCTGTGGCCAAAATGCCCACAGAGTAGAAGAGAGGCAGGGAGGAGAAAGGAGCGTGGGTACTGGGGGTCCTGCCACCTACCTCTTCCCAGACACTGAGGCCCAGATGCTCTGAGGCCCCAAGCAGTCAGGGGCAGACGCAGATCCGGGGTTGCAGCTTTTGCTCACAGTCCAGGTAATAGGAGACTCTTCCAGGAGCCCAGCGTGCTTTCCCAGAGCATAAATAACCAGATAAAAGCCAGCTTGGGGTGGGCGAGTGGGTGGGGAGCTGGGGAAGGAGGGGACCTACCCTCTGGGCCCCCACTCCCGCCCCCACCCTACTCCTCCGCTGATCCCGGATCTCGATGCCTGGCCAGGCAGGAGGGCGTGTGCGCGGGTGGGCAGGCCAGGCAGACGGCGGCAGGGCGGGCCGCAGCTCCCCGCTCCTGCACCCTCCCCACCTCCAGCTGATAGCGTGTGGCCGCTGGCCTGCGGGTGTGTGTCTGTGTGTCGGCTCTTCACCTCGCCTGCTCGCTGCAGCTCAATCCATTCCAAACAGAGGAGCATTAACCGGGCCTCATGACGAAGCAGAATCGGAAGCAGACTCAGCCAGCCGCTGGCCTTTTTCCCTTTCCCACACCCACCCCCTGCCCAGCAGCACTCCTGCTCACACACACAGCCCCTCGAGCCACCTAAACAGCCAGCGTTTGTGTAGGGGACGGGGGAGGGGGCTCTACTGATCACAGAAGGGGTGACAGCACTTGGCTTCTCCAAGCACCTGCCTCTCCCACTCATCACCCACCACCAGCCAGGCCTCTGGGGTCCCTGCACCCCACCCCACCCCACCCCCGGGTGTGAAAGCCCTGTAGATGGATGGCGAAGGGGAGGGGCGTGTGGGCTGGATGCCAGAATTGGTTACCCAAGGATTAACCCTCTCCTGGGGAGGACAGAATGGGAGGATTCAGGAGACCAGGTCCTCAGGACAAGAGACCAGGTTGGCCTTTCCGTAACCCAGATCTCCGGGGGACAGAGCACAGCGGTGGTTAGTGGGAAGGATGCAATTCTCTCTCCAGGGCAGAGTCTTCAAAAGAGAAGCTATTGCCAGGGCATGCCCAGGCCCCTACTTAGAACTGTGGGAGCAGAGACAGTGGGAAAACCACCCCCCACTCCGGGACCCTGTCTTTGGCCTTTTGGTTCCCTCTGGGCTCAGAGCAGAGTCTGGTTCATGTATGACCCCTGGGAGCAGGTGAGGGAACCCTGCCAGCTGACCCTGGCCCCAGCCCTGCCCCCTCTCCACCTCTGTGCACTTGCTACCTAGGCAGGCCTTACTGTTGCCCTGGTAACCACTGCCCACAGCCGTTCAGCTGATGCTATCAGCTGTCGTTGGGGAAATCTAGAATCTGGGGAGGGGGTTCTGGGGTAACAGAATGGAACAGTCACAGGGGGAGGGTCTTGAGGGGACAGCTGAGAGTGTGCTCCAGGACTTGTTTCTCAAAGAGAGAAGGGCAGGAGAGGACAGGTCGGGACAGGAAGGGAGAGGCGTGTCTGCGGGAGACAGAGAAGAAAGAATCCCGAAGGATGGACTCCAGAAAGAGAGGAGAAATTAAGATGACAGGTCGCTGAGTGACTGAGGAAGAGTGGAAAGAATCTGGGCTTAGCTGTTGGATGTACCGCGGAACGGGGAGACAGGGGGAGACACAGGATCTATGGAACCATGAGAAAAAGGCCAGGAGACGCTGCAGGAAGAGGTGCACCCGTGACGTGGCAGGAGTGGGCCACACATCCAGCAGAGGGGAACCAGGCCTTTCTAGACAGCCAGCCTGGCCTCTCAGCTTTCTGACCCTGCAACCCCACCCTTATTGCCCTGGCCCCACCCTCATCCTGCACAGCCTCCGTCTCCCACTCCAGGAGACCAGATGCCAGAGAGCCCTTTACAATTCCTCATTTTTTCCCACGACTTCGGCTCCTTCTCTGTTTTCATGTGCCACCCCCTCCCCCAGACCCCATTCCAGGAGATTCTCCTTCCGGTGCCAGGTCCCCAGAGGTAGGGCTGGGATGAGGTGTCGCCAGGAAAGACAGCTGGGGGCAGGGGCCTGGAATGAGGTGGCTCAGGAGGGCTGGACAGGAGTGGGGCATCCCCCAGGAAAACAAGCACGCTGGATGGGGGGG